CCTTTGCTGACTGCTGATTGTTTCCTCCTTCAGTCCCACAGGGTAGCCACTGTTTCTGAGATCTTTTCGGGTGTATGCTAGTTCATTTTGGATATCAGTTTCGCTGAGCTCAACTCAAAGCATGTGCTAACTACAGCGTTTGTGATGCTCCTCTTCAATTCATACGCGTGGTTCGACTCGAACGGCAGGAATTTTTTGATTGTGTTAGCTTTGAGCACTTCAGTAACGTACGTTCTCCCTTTCTCGTGATGAGTGCGTTCAGGGAGGGTATCGAGTTGTTTTGCTCCACTGCCTCACTTTCTTTAATTTCATGTTATTATGCTAAAAGTTTTGTAAAGCTGCACTCTTGTTGCTAGCTAATAAACCGGAGTGTTGTACTTTTGTTTTCCTCAGTGATTCCCCGTTTTCTACAAGTCACTGTGGGACTGGATATTAAGAGAAACAGTGACATTGCGCGTTACGGGTGCGGGTTCGAATCCATTGTTAAAAACATCATATATATAATATATGTTTAATGCACCTGACCAAAATGCCTCTCCCCATCCTGCTTTGATGCAACTGGCTGAGAAACGGGTAGCAGATCGTTCGCCTACGGACTGTTAAGACAGTATCGCTTTTGGTCTGGTGCGCAGATGCCAGTGCGTGAGAGATTTGCAATTGCAACTTGCCTTGACCCACTCGAGAGCTAACTAAAAGTCGGCGCGTTATCATATCCGTAGAAATAACTAAATTATCATGTGAATGATACATTTCTCACAACTACGTGGCAGAAATCAGACAGGGGGTGAAGTCAGCCGTACATCTTTATGTAGTTCATATAAGAAAAGTTAATTATAACATCTGGCTTGTGCTTAAACGGTTTTTAATGTGACCTTGACGGTAACTATGACAAGCGTAACGTTAACACGTTATTACAATTGGTATCGGTAACTGCTGGCGTTAACTTTGTGCTTTGACTAGCATGATGTTTTAACCAACTCCTTATAGTGAAAAGCGCCTACAGTGGTACAACTCGAGTGACGTTCAGTGGCCTGTTAAACGCAGTGGATGGCGTGGCCTCTTCAGATGCCAGAATTTTGTTTATGACCACCAATTTTGTGGACAGGTATGTGTCAGCCGAAGGGGGCGCTTTGTCTGCTAGTTTAGCCACCACTGATTTGCGTTTGGTTTACAGGTTGGACGCCGCACTGATTCGACCCGGTAGAGTGGATGTTAAGCAGTACGTCGGCTACTGTTCTGACTGGCAGCTGGAGAATATGTTCTGCCGTTTCTACGCAAACTGTGACACGACGATGGCGAAACGGTTTTGTTCCTTGGTGCGACGCAAGTACCCCAGTGTTAGCATAAGTGCGGCGCAGATCCAGGGTTACTTTTTGCAGAACAAAAATGGACCTGACTTGGCCTTGGAAAACTTAAACATGCTCGACAATGAGATCAAGTGACTTAATGGCTGTGAACGTCGTTTGTGCGACCGGGTCATTGCTCAGTTGCCTTTGCGTGCCGTTTTCTCTGATATTTCTGTTTAATTATTATTTTTGGTTATTTGTCGTTGTTTCCGCAATTTCTCGCTGTTTGAACATGACCATCAAAAGTGACTTTTCATTGTGGCCCATTTCAGTTTTTTGACTACGATTTACAAGTACTTCAAGGTACTTTACAAGCAAAGTGTCTCACGTTCGTCAGTTCAGAAGCCGGAAACATGTAGAAATCGATCACTTGTAAGTGTGCAACTGATTCTTGTCGATTCCGAAAATTTAACCGTTGCATTAGATCTGTCTCTCTTAGGGAAATGCCAGCGGGTTACTTTGAGTTCCACAAGAAAAATCTAACTTGTATGTGAAACTTAAGTACTTGGAATAGTTCAGCTACAATCCTTTGTCATAGTCGAACTTCACATTGACTGTAGTCTTGACCTTGTGAAACAACTCATGTCTTGAAAGCGAATTTCTGTCTTTGTCATGGAAGGATTATTTTATCTGACGAATTGTCTTACCCCGTTTGACTCTGCACATTACGGGTAGGGAAAGATTTAGTTCATCTGCCTAAGTTGTTTACAGGGGATAAGACGACAACCTTCACATGGTGTTCCTGTTACTTATTGCGAAATTACGCCAAAGCTTAACAATATAACGAATGTCGTCACCTGACAACCGAACGTTGTGAAAGCAATCTCAGCTCGACTAGCAACAAATCTAACGGTTCTTCTCAGAATCAAGCAGGTAAACCAATACGAAATAAATCAAACAGTCTTTATGAGGGCCATAGAAGAAGAGTTAAGAAATTCAACAGTCTTTATGAGGGCCAAAGAAATAGAGAAATGGGCCACACGCTCAGCATATTTCAGCTGAACGTCGAAGGCATTTCCTACGCAAAATGTGAATATCAATTAAGGACGTTAAAAGAAAACAAGATTGACATCGTCATTCTGCAACGGACGCACATCGAAGATGATTGCAAAGAAGTCGAGTACAAAATTGCTGGGTTCAGTATGGTCACTAATACCTGTGACTCCAAACACGATCCAGCTACGTATACTAAACTAGACCTGAAATATGACATGGTGACAAATAGCCGCGAAAATCGGATCGGCGAACACATAGATGAACTAAATTCTCGACTTCACTAGTGGACGTTGGAGAAATCGCTATAATGAACATATATAAGCGTCCCGGAACCAATTGGCCAACGCCACCATTACCAACGATGCCTCACCCAGCTGTTTATGCGGGCGACTTCAACAGCCACCATACTTCATGGGGTTACACCGTGAACAATGCGGCAGGTGAACAACTAAGCGAATAGGCATCAGAGCAAGTTTACACTTGTGCCACAATGCTAAACAGCAGGACACTTTCAGCTCTGCAAGATGGCGAACTCACCGTAGCCCGTACGTTTGCTTCGTCTCCAAAGACAGTAGCGGCATTCCGCTTCCTACTTCCGGGACAGTGCTGAGATTTTTCTCCAAAAAGCCTTGTTGTGCTTCGGATCGGTCTGCAGGTACCGCTAATGCAGTCTGCCCCATTACCTCGCTGGAACTTTAGATAAGCAAACTGGTCATCGTACACTGCCGAAGTCGAAAACTGTATCAACAGGTCTTGCTTACACACCAAGCCCAAAT